CCCACTTACCTCGGCTGGGATTGAACCCAGACATATTGGGGTGTGAGAAAGCAGTCACGCTTACCACTACACCACCGGCGCCGGCTGAGAGTTGACTCGACACAAACAATGGTTCCGTTGCACATCCAGTGATGCCACATTTGATTGATTTTCAATCTGTATTTTTATCGAAAAAAATCTTTTTAATCTGTATCTGGCTGACTAAAATTTGTAATAAAATCAGTATTTTGGCAACAAGCCCGAAAATTTAGTGTTACCAAAATCGAACGGTTTTATTTTTAAATTTAATTTATGATTTCGATGATTATGAACCACCAACACCGTGAGTCATCTTTATTACATAGACGTTATTAATAATTTTTTTAATTACAAATTTCAATCACATTGTAATGGTGCAAAAATCGAACACCTTGTCAAAAACGAACGGGTACAGTAATTTATTTATTATGGTCTCAGTGTGGATTTATCTAAATCTTCATTGAGTTCATTCATAGTTCAGAAGGAGTTTGTTCAATGTTTAGAATCTTGAAAAATGACTAATAGTCCGTTCACATTACAACCTAATATAGACTGTCTTGCAATGAGCACTAATAAATAGGATTTCCAGTGAAAACTAGATGTATGAGTGCTCATTGATCAGTTCACGAAGATTTGCCGCACTCTTCTCTCACCCGTAAGTTTTGACAGTTTTGGGTGGTTTGTTTTGACTCCCATTCGTTGCTATCTCTTTTACTCAGAAGCAAAATGATAAGGAGCAAAAAGTGAGGTTAGGGACCGTGCACTGATCTATTGCAAGACAGCGTATATCACGTGATAAAGGGTGATACGGTCAAAATTTGGTCAATATCAACTTGACGTATTTCTTTCAATTTTGCATTTAAAAAACCTGAACACCCCTCATTTTGAAGGTGTGTGTGTAGAATGTTGCTCCTATTTTAATTTGGAATTCACTCTTCAGTTGTCAAAATGCCGTCCAAGCAAGAAGAGCAGCGTATCAAAATTTTGCTCGCGCATCGCGAAAATCCGAGCTACTCGCACGCAAAGTTGGCAAAATCGCCAAAAGTTGCCAAATCAACCGTTACAAATGTAATTAAAGTGTTTGGGGAACGTTTGTCGACAGCCAGGAAGTCTGGATCGGGGGGAAATCGAAAACCGGGAGCCGCTGAGACGACAAAGAGAGTTGCCGGTAGTTTCAAGCGAAACCCTAACCTCTCTCTCCGAGATGGCGCAAATAAGCTGGGTGTATCGTCTACAACCGTGCATCGAGCCAAAAAACGAGCCGGACTATCGACTTACAAGAAGGTAGTGACTCCAAATCGCGATGATAAACAAAATACGACGGCCAAAGCGCGATCCCGGAGGCTGTACACGACGATGCTGACGAAGTTTGACTGCGTGGTAATGGACGACGAAACCTACGTCAAAGCCGACTACAAGCAGCTTCCGGGACAGGAGTTTTATACGGCAAAAGGAAGGGGAAAGGTAGCAGATGTTTTCAAGCACATGAAACTGTCAAAGTTCGCAAAGAAATATCTGGTTTGGCAAGCCATCTGTACCTGTGGCTTGAAAAGCAGCATTTTCATAGCTTCCGGGACTGTCAACCAAGAAATTTACGTGAAAGAGTGTTTGAATAAACGTCTGCTGCCTTTCCTGAAGAAACACGGTTGTTCCGTACTGTTTTGGCCGGATTTGGCATCTTGCCATTACGGTAAAAAGGCCATGGAGTGGTACGCCGCCAACAACGTGCTGGTGGTTCCCAAGGACAAGAACCCTCCCAACACGCCAGAGCTCCGCCCAATTGAGAAATACTGGGCTATTGTCAAGCGGAACCTAAAGAAGACCAAAAAAAACTGCTAAGGGCGAGCAGCAGTTCAAGGCAAACTGGCTTTCTGCGGCGAAGAAGGTGGACAAGGTGGCTGTAAAAAATCTGATGGCAGGGGTCAAGCGTAAGGCCCGGCAATTCGGATTTGGAAAAGCGGAAGCCTAACTGAATATTTTTCCTGAATTTTATACTAATTGAACTTGAAAAAGAAATTTAATTTGATTTTTTAAATAAACGATTTCACCGATTTACACGCGTTTTCCCTTGACCAAATTTTGACCGTATCACCCTTTATACGCTGTAATGTGGACGGGGTATAAAGTATGCTTTCTTTTTTTGTTAATCATGAATTCCTATAATCTTGATTTTTTAGATGATTTGTATCTTTTCTACAATTCAGAAAAAAAAAAAACAAAACACTAAGTTCCAGTAGTAGTGAGAGACAAATCTGCTTTCAGCGAAAAATTTCATGCCTTCAACGAAAAATTTCGTGGGTTTACTAAAATGACTTGTTGACCGATTTGACATACAAATACAGTTAATAAAATAATGTATCTGTCACCATGTGACATGGTTAATTAACCAAAAAGAGAGGGAAACGAATATCCCTTCCAACGAGAAATCAAAACATCTGAACATTAGAAACCCATTCAAAAGATTCCAAGCTCATTCGAAGATAATTTAGTGAAAAATACGTTTTGGGTTTGATGCTCACAGATTGAATTCAAACTGCTCAAAAGTAAGAAACGGTTATTTATCAGAATTAATAAATAGAAAAAATAATATCCAATATATTCTCCTAATTTAAAAAATCTGTATATTTTTCAAAAATCTGTATTCTGTATATACAATCTGTATCAAAATATTGAACAAAATCTGTATGGTTACAGATAAATCTGTATATGTGGCATCACTGTGCACATCGTTTTGTTTATTAAAAGAAAAGTGTCGTTTGCTATCTCTCTTTACTCTTCACTGATGGCAGACACGAAGTTACTGCTGCCAGCAGTGATGGAAATTTCGGGTCGCATTCGGGTGTGAAGCAAAAATCCTGAAACTCAAACTCACCACAGTTTGGTGAGGATTGTAGCTGGTGACTGGTGAGTTTTGTTGGCTTGTTATTCGGTGCGGCAATATCACAGCTTGTTATATCAGCCGCAGTTGTTTGTTTGTTAATGTTTGTTTACGATCAGAAACGATTTTTGTCTGACGAACAGAAGCGTACCCCTGATAAACAATACATAAACGATAACGACCATACCACCATAGAGGTAACTCTAAGACCAGAAGGTACTCTCTTCGGTCCCAAGCTAATCGATGCACCTCTCGAAACATAGGAAAATCCACGAATCCCTCATTTTACCTGTCAAACTTTCATAGCGAATCAAAACAAACATAGTGTAGGACTAGAATTTCGACTGGAATGGGGTACGTTAATCGGTTTGCTTGGGACCAATAGGCTAGTCCAGTAGTGAGCCAATTTAAAATCGTTATTTTCCACCGGTGATACCACATAACTGCCGTGAGATAAGCACTTACCAATTCTATTGGTTATTTTCTATGCGGGGTGTCATTATTGTTAATCCCAGAATTCAAAATAATCTTTTGAATGTATTTTTTATTCTGACTGCAGAAATTCCCTTCCTAAATAGAAACCACCATCAACGTAGTTGAAGAAAAAAGCTACGACACCAACGATTGTTTTCGAAAAATATAAATCCCTCAACATATCATACCGATCTTCTACCGAAGCAATTGGTTGTGCATACCACCGGAATCGGTGTTCCTAAATTCAGCAGCGTTGGCATAATTTCCGATTTTTCAGTTTTGTTCCTTACTGTTTTTCTTTCTTTTTGTGTGTGTGGGTGTGTGTGTTTTGGTTTAAATTTAAATCTCTTCTATGGGGGCATGATTGATTTCATCAGGTTTGCTGGTAGTAGTAGTAGTAGTGTGTATTACTCCTTCCTACCGCGGTCTCGCACGCGGTCGCTGCACTATTTACAGATTTGTTTTATTGAATTTAACTAGAGCTTCTTCTGCTTTAACTGCCGTTCAAATTTTACAGTGTTCTATTAGATTATTTTTTTTTTTGGAGCGCTTTAATCGATATTCAATGGGTCGTAAAAAAATAACTCATTGTTGCCGTCGAGAAGATTGAAGGAAAACCGATGCACTATTCTCTGGCTTAGTTGGTATCAAGACATATGTGTTCGTGTGTCTGTATGTGTGTGTGTGTGTGTGTGTGGGTGTGTTCAACTTTACCGATCTTTTTTTTTCTGGAGCACCTCGCTACCCAATAGCACAAGTGTGTTAGTGTGTGTGTACTTTTATCTTACAGTGTTTGTGTGTATGTGTGTATGTGTGAGGGTTTATGCACCAGCAATCGATCATTCTTGTTTTCTCTTTTTTCGGTTTTTGTATTTTTCTCTTGTTTTAAGTAATCTCCGTAAATTTATATCAGTGCAAGGCAATTGGTATATAGCAATGATTCATTTTCTTCTCTTATGCTCGTCGTGTATTAAACTTACTTTATACAAATTTGTTTATGTCCACGCCAGATCCGGGTATTTTTTTTGCTAAGATTTTCTTTCCATTTTTTTAAATAGTAGAAGTAATCACAATGTAAGTTTTCCATTAGTTGTTTTTGTTAATATTCTCTATGGTATTCATTCATTCAAGTTCAAATAATGTATTCAATGCGCTTGAGTTGTGTGTGTGTGTGTTTGGGTGTGTTTGTATAAGAGGGATGTCTGCAGTTTACTGTGACGCGTGAGTATGTGTGTGGATGCGAGAGAGAGAGAGAGAGAGAGATGTATGGATGCTAGTTAAGAGTTATGTTTTTAAGAGAGTCAACAGTGGAAAACGTGAGCTAGGCGATTTATCTCAACAAAGTTTGTAGAATGGATTTCGAGTCTGGTTGGATCCTTGTATAACAATAGATAGTTGTGCCTCACCCGTTTTTATTTGTTTTTATTCGAAGAATAGCAAGACCAAGAGCTACGCGAAGGAACATAAGATCTGTGGAATGACGGGAACTTGTTTACTATATGTTTTTTTTTTTTCGTTTTACGTTGTGGGTGAGGATTACGAGGGGAAATCAACAAAGTGCAACAGCGTAAGCGCATATTAAGCGTGGCTTTCTTTTTCAAAGTCGAAACCTTAACATCAGGTAAAAGTATTGTTATTTTAGCTTTTCGATTCTTGCAATTCTTCACCTATTTATTTCGGTCGTAAGCCATCGAAGCGATACAATGAATCGACCGCTTTGACGGGTTTCTTCTGTATGAGTTTTGTCCTTGCTTTATTCGATTTTGTTTTCTCTATTGATGATTCCAAATTACAAACGGAAAGATTAAAGTTCAAGCTCTTATTTTTTTCAGTTTGTGTTTTTTTTTAGTAAAACGCTGGAATCACTGCGGGAAATGATTCATAAAATTGGACTTACTAATAAGATGCGTCTTGCTTATTTGTTACTCATACATTGTAATTATTTTTTAATTATCTTTTTTTTTTACAAAACTTTATCATTCGTACGAACTTCCTCCAGTGACGTTCATTCTTCTTCATCTTCTTTTTTTGTGTTTGTGTGTCATAATTCATCTGCATATTTGTTACCTAAATTTAAATTTAAAGCTTTCTTTATTTATATTTATATGCATTTTTCGCAGCTGGAGCTTTTCAGAGAGAAACGGTTAAATGTCGATTAATAAGATACATAACATAACCTATCGAAAATTATCGCCCCTCATCGTGCTTACATTTGTCGGGAATTTGTAAAAAAATTGTTTACATGTTTTGTACCACGCCGCAGTGGATCCTTACGCCAAACTCCTGTCCAACCCTCTTCTATTGCCGCTTACGTTTCGTTTCCACAATTTACCTATTGGTTTTTGGCACAATTAAAAGTTGAGTCGTTTGTTTTGCTTCGGTTCTTCGTACTAAAATTAAATAGATTTCTATTTCCCGTTAGTTTTTTTTTCTCGCTTTTCCTATGTGTGTATGAAAAGTTGCCTTCTATTCGGTTCGAGTAAATTTCGGAAACGATCCACTTCCGGCGTGGTTACTGTTTTGTGTTGTATAAACGCTTTCAATACAAAAAATCAATATCATTCGATATTTGTCTAAAGCTAACAAACTAGAAAATTAACAGCGAAATCCTAAAAGGTTTTTAGAGTTTAATTTTAAACGGCGTGGGATTTGGTTTAATAGTAAAAAATACGGAAACTGATGCCTGGAAACTGTTCAAGATCATGCTTGCTTACCTACGTACGCTTGGGCTTTTTTGGTTTTGCGATCGAATTTGAATAAATTTAATTACTATTTATCAATGTACATCTATTTCTATATAAATTTTCTTCATCATTTCTCTCATCCACAGGAGCTAAGCATAAACTACTTGCGAAAGAAAGAGAAAAACAATCAATGCTAACCCAACAACGCTCCAACCAATCCAGTTATTAGAAGAAAAGAAAAAGACAAAACGTATAAAAAGGAATCAATAGCAGAGCATTATTCATAGATAAATTGAAAAGTAAACAGACTATGATGGGCGTAAGGCATCGCAGTGAGTGCATATTCGAGCAACTGCACCGGAGCCGACCCGGTTCGTGCACTTACAATCTACAGGGAAAAGTTACGGAAAATGGAAGATAAGTAAAGCCCGGTTCAACTCACTTGAGCTGCGAAATGAAGGGCCAGAAAGCTGTTCAATATCCAATATACTTGAACACCAACCACGGACCTAGCCGGGTGAACCAAATATATCGACAAAATCTAACAATCGGCAAACAGTCTTTTCGAAACGGACTACTCTATTGTATAGACGTCGCGTCGCCAGCAAGCCAAATAAACAAGTTGGGTGAAAAATCAGTTCAACGTTGTGTTGCCATGCGACCCCGCGATGCCAGTTGCCGGTCGAATTTCGGCCAACAGGAAAAATTCGAACCCTTGACAGAGGCTCTGCATGGAAGCCACAACGATGAACCGGATCGCAGTGGCATTCGCGAGAAATTCGTTTCGCACAGCTTTCAACAAATGATCTAATACTGAAAATAAATAATGAAGAGAAACTGAACTGGAAAAAAACAAAAGAAAACAAAACAAGGAATGACAGCAAATGGAAATAGGCGGAAGAAATTGGACATTGGATCGAAAATGATGATGAAAGCGGTATTATATAGAAATGAGTATTTTCATTTTTATACAATAGGAATGGATCAGGATGATTTAACGAACGACGGCGATCTCCGCAACTCACGCGCTTTCACTCTCAAATTAATTCTCTTGTGTGTGTTTCGTATCTTTTTGTTTTCTTTTTCTTTTGCGTCCTAACGTTTGTGTTTTGTTTGTATGTATGTGTGTTTGTGTACGTGTGCATTCTGTTGAAGTTGTTACCACATTTGCTCATGTTTGTGTGTGTTTGTGTTTGTGTACTTTCCTCTAAACGGTTGTGTGTATCGTACTATTTTACAGGTTTCCTTTGTGTTACCGTTCGTTCCTACATCTGCCGAGTACGGACGAATCATTCCTGAGAGCATTGGCGCTGAATGCCGATCCTCTTTTCGTTTCTTTCGTTCACTCGTGTGGAAGCGTGTGTCGTTCTTGTTCTTCATTCGCCAACCGCGCTCAGTAGAATTCGTCGTACTCGAGGCCGTCGTCCTCCTCGCTGTCCGGGACGAGCTTTTCCTCGTCAACAGGTTCATCATCCTGATCCCATCCCTATATCCACGATTCCTACATGGCATTCAATACTCTTCTATTATTACCGCCTCCCCGGTGCGGGCTGTAGTCGTCGCGGTCCCGTCCGTCCGTCCGCTCCATACCCCGGCGGACGGACTGCGACGACGGTGGCGCCACCAGCTGTTGTGGCTGTGCGATCGGATAGCGCGGATCCCCCCGTAACAGGTCACCCCTCGCGTCTCGTATCAGCTCGCGGTCGTGATCGAGCATATCGCTGTTGAGATTGTGTCTATTGCTACTACTGCTGGCAACGCCAACGTTTACCCCACCGGTTATATGCACCCTGCTGTCCCGTTCCCGTAGATCCCGAATGTCTCGACTGTCACCTCGTACCATTCTACCTCCACCACCACCACCGTCTCCACTGCCTCCACCGCCATAGTCCGATGGACCGTAGTTCCTCTCGTTCAGTAGATCGTCATCGTTGATGTCGTAGTGCAACATGTCTCGTTCACGGGCATGTAATCGCTCCCGATCCCGCTCCCGGTCCCGTTCGTATCGATCCAGACGGTCCCGGTCGCGGTTCTCGTGGCGATTGGAGGCTGGTCGTCTACTACTATTACTATTGTGATGATATGATGCACCTGTGGAAAGACGAGGCTCTGGTTAGACAGATCGTATTAATAGGTGCCAATGCAATCACAGAGAGGAGATTTTCTTCAGCCGAACCCCCAGTCATGGTTGGGATGGTCCCAGCTGAACGGATGGTTGCAAACAGCACTCACACATTGGGTACAAATTCAAACCAGTTTGTACAGTTTGGAAAACTATTGGAGGGGGGAAAACTAAGCAAATGGTGCAATAGTTGAACAGAACGAAGCATGCAGTTAGCTAAATCCAAAATAAATCACTCATATGAAGCATTGATTAGTAATAGTATTAAATGTTTTTGAACTTGAATAGCAATGTAAAATTGACAAAAGTGTGAGTAAATTTTTAACCATTTTAACTTCGGAATGAGCTGAATAAAACTGTAACCGTTACTGATTAAATAGATCTCCCTTGTGTTCACGTAGCCCCACATAACGAGGTTTTGCTTGAATTCGACCAAATAGCAGATGATGTTTAAATTTTATTTTGTTTTTACGAGTACAGCTATTTAGAACGCGTTACCCACTGAGTTGCACCCACCGCTTTTTCTCGGTGGGTTTTCATCCAGTCGGTCTGATTTTTTGCATGTGAGTAGGGTCAATGGAGAACTAGTCACTCGCAGAAAATCAGAGCGCTTGTTTGAAAACCCACCTAGACATAGCGGTGGGTGCAACTCAATGGGCAACGCGTTATTCGGGGGAAAGCTGTATATTATATATTTGGTACGATAGGAGGGTAGATTGCTACTTCGTCGTAATCGTCCATTTCCATTACATTGAGCAGAAATCACCAATAATTTCCATGATTTCATCGTACACAAATCAATAATAAGATTGTTGCGATGCGTTAGCTCATAAGCTACAACACAAAGCCCATACGAGTGCGTTGTATGAATATTTAATCTCATTGTTCTCAAAACAAAAGAAGCGCTCCTAGCAAATCCATTGTTCAGTCTTAATTCGAAGAACGAAGAAAACCAATGGCGTTTCAATGCGTTAGGACGGAATTGAAACTCGTAGAATTTGCAATCAAGAAGCAGTGTTAGACTTATTACAATATCTCAATTATTTGTGACTCTTTATCAAATCCAATGGTACGTATGTAAAGCTAAATAAATTTGGAAGTCATCTATAGTAGAATCACTCCATTTTTAGTTCATATCCGTTCGAAAAAGAGAGGTTAAGTGTGGGTTATGCTTAGTAGGACAGAAATTAGATTCAAATTCCTACTTTAGTTCAAAACCTACAACACAAAGTTTGCAAGAGCACAAAGTATGACTATTTAGGGGAAATGGCTCTAATGTTGGCCTAAGGATCTAAAATTGGGCCCATCGTTAAAAATCTGCTATTTATCAATGCTTGATAGAGTTGGAATGAGGGCGTAACAGCTTTTGTAAATAATGACTTCTCTCGATGATTTCTCGAAACTCAAGGCACGCCCATGCAAACCAACATAACCAACGGGAAGGGGAAGTCTTCCCCTACCAGATGGTGACACTGATATGAGTGAGCGAGCTTTGGCTTTCTAGAAATCATCGAGAGAAGTCATTGTTTACAAAAGCTGTTACGCCCTAATTCCAGCTCTATCTAGAATTTTATCTAGATGAACGCGTCATTGGGACGGTACTAATGAATATTTTTGGTCGCTATTGTAAATTTAGTCGATTGCTGAATTTACGTATGGACCCACATTAGGGGCATTTAGGCTGACATTACATCCATTTCCCCTACACCTTTTTTTATCTCAAAAACAAAAGACGCACCCCAAGCGAATCAATTTTTCCAGTCCATTTTATTTTCATCCGAAGGACGAAGAAATTGCATTGACGTTTCAATGTGTTAGGACGGAATTGAAACTCGTCGGACGAATTTGGAATCAAGAATCAGTGATAGATTTTCATCAATGTCTCCACACGGCCAATCATACCAACTCAGCGACTGAGAATAATTGACTCAGAGAGAGTTGGTTGGAAATGCTAACATGAAGCTTTAGTGTGATGATTTATTAGCTAGAGAATGATCTTTAGAAGAGGGTAGGTGGATAGTTCCGTTAGAGTACGGCAGTATGAAAATTGAATAGAAGTTGAAAATGAGCGAAGGGCCATTAATGCGACAGTTTTTTAAGATCGACGCACATTTTTGCCTAACCCGTACGATGTACGCGGGGACTTGAAGTATGTCTCCAAGTCCACAGGCAAAAATGTGCGTCCCTCTTTTTGCTCATAAACTGACTGCGGCTGTGGAATAGTTCTAGCGACGTTTTCATCACTACCTAAAGCCCCACGTTGCGAGAGCATTTCCAGTCGATGGTGTGTTATAATGCAGTTCTTCTTTACCCAACTATTGTGTTGCTCCTCTCGTCGTTAGAACTATTCCACAGCCGCAGTCAGTTTATGAGCAAAAAGAGGGACGCACATTTTTGCCTGTAGACTTGGAGACATACTTCAAGCCCCCGCGTACATCGTACGGGTTAGGCAAAAATGTGCGTCGATCTTAAAAAACTGTCGCATTAATGGCCCTTCGCTCATTTTCAACTTCTATTCAATTTTCATACTGCCGTACTCTAACGGAACTGTCCACCTACCCTCTTCTAAAGATCATTCTCTAGCTAATAAATCATCACATTAAAGCTTCATGTTAGCATTTCCAACCAACTCTGAAAATCGTTAACTTCGCGTATGAAGTAACATAAAAAACACTTTGAATGTGACTCAGAGAATTTTCTTTCCATACGAAATTTACTCAGATTTGGAAGAAACTGCAGTTACTCATAAGCTATGAGTAACTGCAGTTTCTTCCAAATCTGAGTAAATTTCGTATGGAAAGAAAATTCTCTGAGTCAATTATTCTCAGTCGCTGAGTTGGTATGATTGGCCGTGCACATTTTGTGACTCTTTATCAGATCTAACGGCACCTATGAAAAGTTAAATAAATTTAGACGTCATCTATAGCAGAAACATGCCATTTTATGTTGAAATCCGCTCGAAAAATAAAGGTAAAGTACGGGTTGTATTTAGAAGGCCCAAATGTAGATCTAAGCCCTACCACCTACTTACGTACGATTCAAAAGTTTTCAAAATGATTTAATGATCTGATCCTTCCTACTAATTCAAATTATGAAAAAATGGGGAATATAACTCAGAACGTCAGCTAACTTTTTTTTTTATAAAACTAATAATCGCAGCAAAACTAAATAACATTATAACTAAAACGACCGAAAAGACTATTGGAAACACCTACAGTGTATCTCAAAATTGATCGTTCAGCTGTATTTAAATTTTAGAAAAACGGCACTAAAAACACAAGTTAAAAACAAAAGTATCTGAATTGTTGGCAGCTGACTCAGCATACATTTATCAATTATTGGTTCAGTATTGGGCATATTTGTTTGATTTTACAAAAAGTTCGAGCAATTTTAGGAAAATGCATTTTTCTTGAAAACCTTTATTTTCTTGAAATAAAATGATCATAACTTCTTTAAATTTTGCTCATTTTTAGTCGTAGTAAGGATCATTCATATGCCACTAATTTCACTAAAATTCGTCCACTAGGTAAAAAGTTGAAAATCTAGCATTTTACTAAAATTAATTTAACTTCATTCAGGCTCTTCCAATAAAGATCAAAACTATTGCAATAATCCAATTAACATCTGTTCAACCACCAGCCACTATTAAAAAAAAATATATCTTTTCACCATGTTTCAAAAAATTGTCCTCTAGGGTGTACGATCAATTTGAGATACACTGTATGTACCCGAGCAGACTCGACAGTGATTTTTGGTACATCAGTACTTCACATCATGATTCCTGCTCTTTGGTTCAGTGAGGGTTAGGGCGCGTTCTGCCATGTTGGTCGAGGCAGATTTCATGTTTGGGTAAAGCTGGGTTTAGACTAGGCAAGTCAAATGATTAACTCAGTTGAATTCAATTGGCTTGATAAGTTGAGCCTGGTTCAACTTTTTTCAATTCAAGTGAGTTGATCAAGTCAGTTGAATGGCATGGTTTACACGTCCAATTCGCGTTCAAGTCAGTTGAATTCAATTGACTGAATCAATTGATTTTCCCTGTCTAAACCCAGCTTAAGTGGTGACACTGGGCATCGTTATGTGCAATTCACCTTAAAAAATTCGTTTCATATGTAGTTTCAAAGAGCCTGAAATGTGGTGCTTGCAAAGATCACTTGAAGATACGATATGACGGAACATTGATACTAAAGCTGGGTTTAGATGATTCAAGTCAATTGATCAACTGGCTTCAATTGGCTTGAAAAGTTGAGCCTTATCCAACCTTTTTCAATTCAAGTCAGTTGAATGGCATGGTTTACACGTTCAATTCACGTTCAAGTCAGTTGAATTCAGCTGACTTGATCAATTGACTTGCCCTGTGTAAACCCAGCTTAACTGTGTATAACGCAAGTAAATGCTTCCAGAAATTAGTTAATATAATGTATTGAAAAATGTGTTAAAAAATCAAAAAATTTAATGTTACATTGAAATAATTTAAATCGTGTTAAATTTAAATATTCCCTCATTTCACATCCGTTGAACCATTCTGAACGGCCATCTCGTTGTGGTTATATCACATCATTGTTAATAATGTATGCATCTATATATTTTCCGGTACCATGGAGTCAACAAAGTAAAAGTGAAAGAAGAGCTGCAAAATGGAGCACATGCGATAGGACAATGGAGTGATGCTCGTTAAAAAAAAATACGCTGGGACACTGTCTATTTTCCGCAGAGGTCTTACGATTTTATAACGCGCAACTAGAACCTCAAGATCATCATGGACGTCAAAATGTCGTAGAAAACATCAGAAATAACATGGGAGACTAGTAGCGACTACCAGTGATGCAGAGACCGAATTGTGAATAAACTGCAAAAGTTGCTGAAATCGTTTTATTAAAATTTATCATTCAAACAAGCAAAGTAATAGCACCATCGGACAGATGAGATAATCCTTCATCTATTGGTATTATTAAATTGTATGATTCAA